TAACGAATGAAGTGTAAGGTTTGCATTTGCGAACCCCGGATCCACGCACGCTCCGCCCGAGTGAGTTCCTTTAACGATGGGTGAACGTTAATCGACGAGTTTTAATATCTCCCAGTTTAAACCGGCAGGACGGCCAGCTCAGTGGTTAGAAAATTATACTTCCGATCAAAAGGTCGTGAGCTCCAACCTCGGGTGGGGCACCACGTGGAGTTGAGTATAACTTACTAATGACGGCTAATGAGCCCGAAATGGCCATTCCAGTCTCCCTTGCTTTTGTCGGCAATGCGGCTGCTGGCGGGTCTCAAGAATGAGCCCCAAGGCAGAACGGGACGAGTGAGTTCCGGTAACGATTGGTGAACGTTAAAAAACGAGAGGCATAACCTAACTGACGCATTTAAACGTCATCTTAACGACTCGTTCGCACGTCGCTCTATTGATCCGCCCATATGCCGTGCGTGTGCTGATTACGCGGCAGATCCCGACAGGATTGGAGTTCTACACGGCCAATCGTTGTCGATTTGCTAATCGGTCAAGGGCACTATTTGACTGGTCCAAAGCCAGGCCGACCTTGGACATGCTCGCGCATGCCTTTTTCGCCTTATTATGTTAGAACACGTCGACACACTTCTATTCTTCCATCCCTGCTGTTGAGTTCTGATTTAAAAATCCGACCAAAGCGTGTTGCTGGACGGATGAGCATCGAGGTTTGTGACAAGTTCATAACATTAAGAGGGCCGCGTATTTCGACCGGATGGTACTTACTTTCTCTAATTATCTTCCCCTACCTGTGCGAGGCTATGCTGTAAACTTGATCACTCCAATTCTACATATATTTTACTTAGCCTAGCGGTCTTATAAATGCATAGACCTGACGAGAATTTGTTGAAGACAAACGCGTAGCAGTTTTTGGGATATGTCATTCGGGAGAAGAGCTTGCTGAAGGGAGACATAGGTACCTACGAGTTAGCTCTGAGGTGAAAAAATCAAGGCCAAGAAATGACACCAATTACAGAAATATGCAACACCTAAAGGCCAGCGAAAAGCCTAGAATGGCCCACTGAAGGCTTCCAGCATAACAAGAATTTTTCAATGATATAAAGGTCTCGTATAGTAGGTTTTCTCTCACCCATTCAAGGCAGCCGACTTACTTCGTAGGACTTGTCTTCACTGTCCTCACAGTGCACCCGGCCCCAACTACCCACGATGTCCAAAGAGAAGCTGTTGGACCAAGCGGAGGCCTCGGCTTGAAGTATAACCTAAACGAAAAAGAGATAAGGGGAGGGGGGTTGATTATCGGTCCGGGAGGAGGGGCAAGAGATAGCGAGAGCGGTAAAGATAGTGGTAACGGTTCATGGGAGAAAAAGAGAAAGCGCCAGCCACGATGAAGAACACATGCGAGATGGTGACTTTTAAGTCGGGGACAAGTGAGAAAGTGAAATTAGAAACGGCGCGCGAGGGGGGAGGGACTGTGGCACCAAAACAAAAAGAAGCCTTCTGTTGTTGCACTGCCGCCGCTGTTACCGCCAATGTGGAATAGAAAGGGAAAAAACATGAGAGCTAAATGGGTCTGCAAACGAGACACTTGTGCGCTCGTGTCAGGGGAACCTTCGGCCAGGCCAGTCAACAAACAGCATGTAAGTGGACACTAAGTGGCGTAAAGGCACAATCGTGAAATCGAAATATCACATCGACCTATAAATTGCTGATA